TTTAGTGAAAGAAATGCTGAATAGAAGGAGGGCAGATAATTAAGAGATGAGGGGGAGCTGTTAACCCCCCCCAAAAAATCTCCACACTCCTGGCCCAGGGTTGAAAGAAGCTAGTCATTTAGATAAAGATAGAGATGAAGAAATGGTGTCGTTACTCACCAAATAAACCTTGCAAGGAAGCAGCACTCGGGCCGCTTTGTACTCAACTGGCCCCGGCACCAATAAACAGAAGTATAACAGAGAAGGGAAAGCTCTGTCTCTCTTTTCTGTATTTCCCCACTTGCACCCGTAGCTGACGACCACAAACGCCACGGCTGTGAGAGTCAACTTAGCCCTTGGATAGCTTTGGCATCTGCAGAGGCTTCAGGGATGGGCTCAAGGTCCTGCTCTGCCCCTACCAGCTGTGTGACCTTGGGCAAGCCAGAAAGTCTTTCTGAGTCTTGACTTTCCCATCTGCCAATTGATTTCATAGGATTACCTGGGAAAAGGCCCGCGTTTGGCACTTGCCGTGTATGGCAGAAAACACACGAGCAAACAGACTGGCCGGCCAGGGTCATTCCAAATTCATGGTCAGCAACTTCAAAGGGTCACTCCGCACGGCCGGAAATCCTACTCTGTTTCTTTAGTGGGCTTGATTGTGATAACTATTTCACATCTAATCCTTGATCCTCCGTCCCCTCCTCTTTTCCTGCCTCACTTTGGCTGCAACTTGCTTCCACTCCATTGGCAAAAGAGAAACCATCAGAGGAGGTTCCCTCAGCTTTGCACGGCTGATTCTACAAATCCACCTCCTCTTCTGCCTCTCAGATGATTGTCCCTGCTCCTGTCAAATGCCAGCCCCCTCCTCCTGTGCTCCGGGTCCCCTCCCTCTTACTTTAGCAAGGATTTCGATCCTGGGAAATCCCTCTCTCTGTATCATCAGTTCCTCCCCAGCTCCTTGCCATCAGCATAGAGATACGATGTTATAGTATCGTATGTTATAATATGTTATCGTATGTTATCGTATCCATATTTGGACAAAACTCTCCCTTCACCCTCCTTATTTCCTTCCAGCCAAAGCCCCATTTCTCAGCTTCCCTTTGCATTAAAACGTTCTAAAAAGTTGCCAGTGGTTGTTCTCTCTGGTTCATTGGCTCCCATTTGCAGTCCCACCCCTGCCATTCGGCTTCCATCCTCATTCTTCCACTAAGACTGCTCCGTCAAGGCTGCCCCGAGGTCCTTGCTGCCACATCTAGTGGACACATCTCTGTCCTCAGCTTACTCGACCTTTCTGCAGCATTCCACACAGGCAGCTCCCCTCCTAGGTCTTGAAGCACTCTCTTCCCCTGGCTTCCTGACAGCTCTCTCACCTGGGCTCCCCCTTCCTCCCTGGCCAATCCTGCTCAGTCTACTGTACCCTCTCCTCCTCTCTGCCCAGCTCCTGATATAGGAGTGTTCCCAGGCTCTGTCCTCCCGCTTTTCCAGTCTGAGCCCGAAACCAGCCTAGGTCACACAGTCTCTGTGCATCCAGCTGGTCCCCAAGCCTGCCCAGACTCCAGGAAGGGGAACAGCAGAGAATTTGGGACCATCCTCAACCCACCAGGTAGAAACCCGGAAGTCCTCCTCAATTCCTCCCCTCTCTCACCCATCACCCCTGACCCTCCAGCAAGTCCACAATAGGTCCCCAACAAGCCTGCTTCTCATGATCTCCATGGCCCCCAGCCTCGTTCAGGCCTCAGCATCTCTAGCCTGGGTCACACCATCGCCTTCTACCTGGGCCCCCTGATTCCACTCTTACACTATAGTCATCTGTTCTCTACAGAGTAGGCAGAGTGGGTTTTTGCACGTGTGAATCAGATTATTTCACTGCCACGTTGACATCTCTTTAGTGCTCAGAAGACAATTCAAGCTCCTAACTACAGCCTGAGGGTCCTGCGTGATGGGCCACGCAGCCTACCTCCCAGCCTCAAGTTGCTCCTCTGCCCTCCTCGTTCACTGTAGAGTGGCCACTCTGGGCTTCCTTCTGTGTCTGAAACAGACCGACTTGTGCCCGGCCTCTTGCTCATGCTGGCCCGGCTTCCTGGAACACCCTCTAGGAAGGGCTGCCTCCTTCTCATCCTTCAGCCTCAGCTCAAATGCCATCTCCTCTCTGAGACCCCCTTGACCATCACATCACTCCAGGTTCCCACGCCATGTGCACGGCTTCATAACACTCAGCATCTAGCACAGAGCCTGGCACATAGTAAATGCTCAATAAATACTTGTGGAATAAATAAGAAAAATCAAACAGGAAAGCATTCCACGGCTCAGTACAACAGACTTCCACATGGCCCCGAATCTCATCTCCCACAAGCTCCAGCATGCTACGGCAGCGCCACATTTTGCCACACAGCCCTGCGGGCAGTGCTTTGATAACAACAGTCCAACAGGCCCCAGGAAGCCCGACATGTCACGACAGGGCCCAACACGGACAACATTAGGCCTGGCCTGGATCTCAGACTCAGCTCCAGGTATCACTGCTCCAAGCTCTGGATGTGTCCAGCTGACCACAGGGGCCCACAAGGGACCCCCAGCCCTAGCTGTGGTGCCGACTGGGACCCAAACATCTGAGCCCCCATGCCTCAGGTGGTGGGTAGTCGGCCACAGACCTGGGTTGAGCACAGTACAATGGGTCTTTGTCTTCCCAGGAGGCCCTGCTCAGCCTCCAGAGGAGAGTGGTCCATCCTGAGCACCCAGAGCAGCTGGGGAAGGGGGAGGTGGGGGAGGGGTAGCACCGGGCTCCCGGGGAGAGGAGAGGAGGCCCAGGTCTCTGTTCTGCTGTACAACCTTAGGCATGTCACTGCCTCTTTTTAGCTTCGCCTCCCTTTTGTAGAAAGAAAAGAGCATCAAAGGGCCTCTAGGGAGCACCTGAGTAAAGATGGGAAACCAAGGCCCAGAGAGAGACAGTGTCTGCCCAGGGTCACAAGTGAGGGAGGTCAGAGTCACTTCGGAGCCCCAGGCCACCTGCCTCCCAAGGAAGCCAAAGGGCTCAGAGGGTAAGGCCTGCTGCTATCTCCTCACCTGTTGCTCTGCCCTAGGCCCTTGGACAAGAATAAAGACAGAGAGAGAGTCACCAGGAAGGAGAGGGGCCATGGAAAAGGAAAGTGGGTTTCCAGCCCCTCCCCCAGAGCCCTGCCCTTTTCCTTTCCTCTTTGGCCAAGCAACCCAGTGAGTCACAAGATTCCACTGGGGCGGGCTCAGTGCCAAGCTCAGTAATGACGAGGGACCTCGGAGCCATGCTTTTGGCTCTGCTCTCTTTCCCTGCTCTGTGTTCCTGTCTCCTTTGCATGGACAGACAGGCAGGCAAGGACAGGCAGATAGCTAAAACCCGTGAACAGACACGAACAGACACCTACACAGACACACAGACTCCTAGCAAGACAGACACCGAGTAGCTAGGCAGACACAGACAGGGACAGTCACACAGCTATACACAGCGACACACAAGCCGACGAGCACACAAATACAGGCAAACAGTACACTGATGGGCAAGACAGACAAACCCATGACCACACAGAGGCAACATCCAGACAGATGTGCAGGCACGTAAGACAGGTAACAGAGAGACAAGCAGACTCAGACACACTCAAGCAGAATCACCTCACAGACTCAGATACACATACAACACTGACAACATGGGTGGCCTACAGGGGGTGGTTTGGGGCAAAGAACAGGCCAGATGCCCCTGGGCCAAGCCCCAAGCCGCAGAACCACACTGAAACTGACTCATGAAAGTGGGTTCTCTGGGCATGAACTCTTCTGAAGGCAGCCTCCATCTCCTTCCCAATACGAGGGGCCCACCTTGCAGCAAGATGAATGGAGGTTAGACATGGAAAGGGCCTTCTCGACCAGGAGGGTGTTGAGACCTGCAGTGGGTGACTAAGGGTGATGGGGGAAAGGAGTGGAGTGGTGGTAGGTAGGGAGCCTGCATCCTGGCTGTGTGCCCTGGGGCAGCTCTGTCCTTCTGAGCCTCAAGTGTCTCATCTAGGTTCTGTCCTCCAGGGTCCCCGCAGGGAGCAGATGGCCAGCTCCTGTGAGTGTTCCCGCCAACACTGGGGCTCCAGGACATTACTCCTCCATCCTCCGCACATGCACCCAGGGCAGGATTCCCTCGTTGACTCCCTGCCCAGTACCCCCTGGCAGGGGGTAACCCAGTCAACCCAGTCACAGATGCCCATTGTCCTGGCCCCTCCCCTCCCCCTGGGGCTGGCCAGCTGAGGATGCCCAAAGGCTGGGGGAGGGGTGCAGGGAGGTCAGAGAGAGGGCAAAGGGAATCCCCGGTACTTGAAGCTTCCCTCACCTAGAGGCAGCTGTGAGGCTCAGGCCAGGGATGGGGGGATCAGTCCAGGTGGAGTCTCTTTCATCCTCCCGCTGTTAGAATCCTCTGGCCCGGGCCCAAACTGTTGAAAGAGAGGGGACTGCGCGATGGGGAGGTAAAAGGTGATGGGCAGGCCTGGCGGGACAGAAGCTCCATTGTTTGGGGCCCAGGCCAGCCTGGGCAAAGGCAGGGTTTATAACCAGGGCAGGAAGGGGGGGCTCTGCAGGGGGCGCCAGCTGGCAGGGCTCTTCCTTTGGACCCTGGATGGGGGACAGGTGCCGAGCACGATGCCCCCTGGAGGGGTTGATAGAGGCAGCAGTGTTTGGCGAGGTGCCGGAACTGAGTGGGGAGGGCGGACGCAAAGAGGGGTCTCAGGGCAGGGAGGCAGCTCCCACCCCACACCCACCCCGCCCCCTCGGGAGGATGAGCAGCCCAAGGGTCCTAAATCATCCTCCTCCAGATTCCAGTCATTCCTGGGAACGGAGGCGGCTTGGGGCGGCTCCAAGCCCGGGGAGGGGGGGCGGGGGGGGGCACTGTGAAGAGCGGTGTGCATGGCTTGTCTTTATTACTGAGGGGTCACGGGGCGCTTAGAGATTTTTGCCGCCCACACTCTCCCCATCATTTCCCAAACTTAGGTCCCAAACTCGGAGCTCTGCTGCCCCCTATCTTCCCTTGTCCGCGCGAGCCCCTCAGCCCCACGGCGAAGCCCACTGGGCAGTTCTTACCAGTGTCACACCACAGTTGTTTCTGCTTCGGTTGGAGTTCCGCCCCTAAGGGAACGGCTTCCACCGCAGACCCAACAAGGTCAGTCACGTGCTCACGGTCCCTCTCACTAGTCCCAATTTCGGAGTTACGGCGGGCCTATTCCAGGTGCAAAAGAGCCGGGGCCCCTCCCTCCCGCCGCCGGGGCCGGGGCGGCGCGCAGGGCGGGGCGGTACAAAAAGCGATCCCGCCCCGCGTTCCTCACTTGACTTTGAGTGTCCGGCGGTCGCAGGAGCGGGAAGGCGGAGGCGAGTAGGGCAGCCGGGCTCAGCCCACACCCCTCACCAGGTAGGGACGCTCCCCTGCTCAGAGGGGAGACGGTGTAGACAGAAGGAACAGAGAGCATGAGGGGCCAGGTGGAGGGACCAAGCCAGGTGGCAGAGAGGGAGAGTGGAGGGGGGCAGAGGGGCACAGAGAGAGGGACACGTGAGGGCACAAAGTCAGGGACCCCCATCAAGGACGGAGGCTGAGGGAAGCACAGGGATCCAGAACAGGAGGAGACCGCGGGTGCGAAGCATGGGTGTTGAGTGGGGAGCACCAAGAATGCCACCATCCCCACCTCCTGTCCTTGAAGGTCCCCCGGCAGGTCAGGGAGAGGCTCCATTTCTTGCCTAAGCCCCTTCCCCCAGTAAGCCAGGGCACATAAACTGTGGCTTCTCGCCCCTGTCCTGCCTGGGGACACAGGAATCAGGGTCCCTGCTGGAACCCCTTGGACTCACAGCCCCAGGAAGCTGGGAGATCAGTCCCTGGGGTGCCAGGGAATCTCTGTTGCCCACCACTTCTGACCCCTGAATTCTGCCCTCCCTGGGCCCAGGAGGCACCATGTGGCGATGTCCACTGGGGCTGCTGCTGCTGCTGGCTGGCGAGTTGGCCCTGGGTGCCCAGCGGGGTCGTGGGCGCCGGGAGCTAGCACCGGCTCTCCACCTGCGGGGCATCCGGGATGCGGGTGGCCGGTACTGCCAGGAGCAGGACCTGTGCTGCCGCGGCCGCGCCGATGACTGCGCCCTGCCCTACCTGGGTGCTACCTGTTACTGTGACCTCTTCTGCAACCGCACCGTCTCCGACTGCTGCCCTGACTTCTGGGACTTCTGCCTCGGCGTGCCACCCCCCTTTCCCCCCATCCAAGGTGGGCACCAGACGGCCAGGGGTGGGTCGCTTTGTCAAGCCCAAACTCAGCAAGGCTCAGGAGCAAGGCTGACACATTGACATTTCCAGGGGGAGGCTTTGTAGAATCTGGGAAAGAGACCCTGCCCGTCTCTCTGCACTTCCGGGAAGTCCCCACTCTGGTCTAACTTGAATCTCTCCAGTAAGATGGAAAAAGAAGAGCCTCGGTCTGTGGGATTTTAAGTTGGCCCAGGAGAAGGGCAGCCTCCTGCCCTTTCTCCCAGTCCTGCCTGTCTCCATATTCTGGACTTAGAAGGTGCTGGCCACACCTGCTGACTCACCCTCAGACTGATAAAGCACACTGGGGTTGGTCAGCGTCATCTTAACAATTCCTCTGCCTTTGCTCAGGATTCTCTACCCCTGAGATGGCTGCTCACACCTGGGAGGTGGGTTAAGTCTGTTCCTGCTCTCAGCTCTCACCACCATCCACTCGCCCTTATGCAAGAGGAGAGTCACTTGAATTCTTTCCCACAATTCCATGGCGCTGCGGGTGTGAGACTGCATACCTGGGTTGTCACCCCAAAGTGCTGTGTCATCTTAGGGGAGTCACTTACCTTCTCTGGGCTTTGGCTTCCCCATACCCCTCCCACTCCCCATCTCCAAACCCCTACTCATTTAAATGGCATAGGATCTAAGGAATGTTGTGGAGGGCATCCAAGAGAAGCAAGAGGGATCCAGGTCGGAGTCACTGAAGAACTTCCCAAGTAGCAGTTGGTGTGTGACCCTGTAGGAGATGTCTTAAGTTATAGCTTGGCTTTAGTTTCAGTGAGGGCGGGTGTGTGTGAGTGTGTGTGTTTGGGAGGGTTCGGGACACCTGACCTCTGAGGACCTGGCCATCTCAACCCGTCGTCTCTGGTCTTGGCTCCACGTCTCTGTCTGACTTTCCTCCCACCAGGATGTATGCACAGGGGTCGCATCTATCCAGTCCTGGGAACCTACTGGGACAACTGTAACCGTTGGTGAGTGTTGGGGGCTTGCCTTGTGGGCTTTGTGGAACAGACTTGATTCAAACCCTATCCCTGTCACTCACTTGCTGGGGGCAAGGCCTTTCCCTTTTCTGAGCCTCAGTTTCCGCATCTGTAACATGGGAATTTTTACACGGACCATGTCAACTTCTGTACCAGTATTCCAACAGCAGTCCCCAGGAGCAGTCAACCATGGATGCCCAGCTCCAGGTGCAGCCCCTCCTGCCTGGGGCTAGGCTACCGCCCCTCCCAACCTTTCTCCCTGTCACGGGAGAGTCCAAGAAGGGGGCGCCAGGAAGGAAACCTCTGACTGCAGCATCCGTTGCCCTGGACCGGATGAGGGTCAGGGATGGCTGAGCTGGCAGCCAGCCAGACTGTAGCAGGGCCTTCCCTGGAATGTGGCCCCTCCTCCTCCCCCAACCCTCCCCACCATTCCCAGTAGGAGGATGAAGGGGTTGGGGTGCCCCCTTACCCTAATCTGAGGCCTGAGATGGGAGGTGCGAAGCCTTGAATCCCTTAATGGAAATAATGGGGACCCTAAGACTTAGAGGAGGAGGCCCTGCACCCACTCCACCCCATGCCCTGGGACCGAGAGGGCCCCAGGGAGGAGGAAACTTTTTGGAATGCATTACGCATAAGCTGTTTCCATTGCCTCACTGGCATGAGGGGTGCCTGGGTCACGGTGAGAGTGGGGACTCGTGCATTTTAGCGTGTGTCTGGGTGACAGAGCATGTGTGTGTGTGCATGCTTTGAGTGTGTGTGACCTGTGTGTGTGTTTCAAAAGATGGAGCATGCTTGCATGATTCTGCTGTTACTGATAGGATGCCTCTGGACATGGAGGGGTTAACACGCTCTCTCGGTCCCTTCCCTAGGGCCTGGCCACCCAGGCCCCCTCTGGAATGCTGGGACCTGCTGCCACCAGTCCTGCCTAGACCTGCTTGGACAGCCCTGGGGGGCAAAGAGGGAGGTGGCAGGAAAGGACTGACCAAGCCACTGCCCTCCCAGGCCAGTTCTGGCTGTGTTCCCTGCACTTGACACCTGAGGGAGGGTGTGGGACAGTGTCTGTGGGCCTCCCAGGCTCTGTGAGCCCTCGAGGATGCTTTCGAGAGTCAGAGGGGGAAGGGAAGGACGAAAGCCTCCCTGAAAGTGCCCCCGCAGCTCCTGGGGCTGGAGATCCCAGCCATACTGGGTCCTCATCCCCTTGAGGCTCCTTAAAAGGCAACAAGGGAGGCGGGAGCCTTGGGCGGGCTTGAAAGGATGCAGTTTAGCATCTTGTCATAGCAGAGTTATGAGCTTGTAAAAGCACTATAGAATTCATAGAATTCAACTGTTCAGTCGACACCTGTTAGAGACCTACTATGTGCCAGGTGCTGTGCTGGGCCAAGGAGATGCAGCCAGAATGCGGCAGACAGTCCTTGTCCCTGCACTGGAGCCTCTAGTCGAATGGTGACACAAATAATAAACCTGTCATTACAACCTTACAGGTGTGATGGGGGGAAAAGAGGTTATTGGGGCACCCTAGTTTAGAGTGGGGTGGGGGCGAGGGAAGGCTACTCCGGAAGGGATATTTATGCAGATACCAGGCAGATGAGAGCATGAGTGGCCCAGGCCCAGAAGGAGGGAACATGGGGGGAAATGGCTTGTGGAACGGCCAGGAGGTGGGACCGAGCTCATTGCAGCTGGAGCTGTGAAATGGGGAGAGAGGCCCCGAGGAGGGGCAGGCTGCATCCCGTGGGTCTCATAAGCTGTGCCAAGGATTTTGCATTTTGCTCTAAGTGTCGTGCACAGCCCCTTGGGGAGCACACAATCTGATTTGTGTTGTTCAAAGATCTCTCTGGCTTTAAGAGAGGGGTGTGTGTATTGGGCGGAGGGAATCACAATGAAGCAGGGAGCCTGGTTAGGAAGCCACTGCGGGGGGTCCAGGTGAGAGGGGATAAGGGGCCAGAGTAGGGTGGTGGTGGTGGAGGGGTGAGAGGCAGGTGGATTCGGAGTCTTTCATGACCGGCTCATAGGGCAGGCTGGTGGTAGGTGGGTATGAGTGAGGGGCAGGCGGTAGGGGAGACACCACGGACCACATGGAGTTCTGGCTTGAACAGTTGGGTAGATAAGGTGCCGTTTTCTGAGTTGAGGATGTTAAGGGAGGAACAGGTTTGGGGGAAGATAGTTTGGCCATTCTGAGATGCCTTTCACACACCCAGAGGAGCTGTCAGGAGGCCAGCTGGATAGGAGTCTGAAACTCAAGGGGGTGGGGAGTTGGGGTTCCTGTAATGAGAACAATCATGGAAGATAACAATTCTTGAGCACATCACATGGTCCAGGCCCTGGGCTGAGTACTTTGCAAGCTTGCCTTTTAATCCCTGGAAGGTGGTACTATTATTATCCTCATCTTACAGACAACATTGAGGGAGAGTTTAAAATAACTTACCTAAGGTCACATGACTAGTCAGCTAGACTCTGAACCCTGGATTCAATTCAGAATCCATGCTCTTAATCACTTCACTGTACTGCCCCATTCATTCATTCATTCATTCCACAAATATCTATTGGGTGGCTACTATGTGCTAGGTTTTGTTTTTAGGCACTGAAGGTATCAAACAATACCTGCCCTCAAGGACCTTAGATTCTGTGAAGAAACAGGTATAGACAATATAAATAACTAAAGATATAATATGTCAGATAGTCATGACAGGCTGCGGAGAGAAGAAAACAGGGAGGCAGGGTAGGAAGGGTGGAGGATGCTGAGTTAGGGTGGCCAGGGCAGGCCGCCCTGAGAAGGTGACATTTGAATAAGGACTTAGAAGAAGTGAGAGGGGCCATGAGGATGTTGGAGGAAGAACCGTGCAAAGGCCCGGGGGCAGGAGCACGGCTGGTGTCAACAGTCAGGACCAGCCTGGCTGGGACCTCAGGAACCAGGACGGGGACGAGGGGGTCAGAGAGGGGACACGAGGACAGATCGTGCAGGGCCTTGTTGGCGCTGGAAGGACTTTGGCTCTTATACTTGATGTGAAGCCAGTGGCAGGTTTTGGGCAGGGGAATGGCATGATATGATTTGGGTTTAACAGGATCGCTTGGGCAGCTGTGTTAAAAATATACCGAAGCGGGGGAGGGGGCACTGGGCAGACTCGAGGAGAACAGTGAGGAGGCTACAGCAGAATCCAAGTGAAAGGCGATTGGACCATGGCGGCTGCGGAAAAGAATGAGACATGGTTTGGATTCTGGATGTGTTTTTAAGGTAGAGTCAAGATGATTTGCCAATGAATCGGGTTAGCAAGTGAGAGAGGGTCCAGGGTGCCTCCCAGGCTTTTGGCCTGCACTCCAGGAGAGGATGGAGTGCCATTTTCGAGGACTGTGGCAGGCGCAGGCCTGGGGGTAGGGGAGAACAGGAATTCGGTTTGGGATGTGGTGAGTGTGACCTGTTAGACACCCAGGAGGTGATGCGGTGTAGCAGTAAGATCCTTGAATCTGGAGTTTAGGGAGAGATCTGAGAAGCAGATACAAACGTGAGAATCATAAATTTGAGATTGACATTTAAAGCCACCAGGCTGGATGGGATCATCTGGCGGTCCTCTCATAGGTGCTGGTGCAGAATTTCAGGCCCATGTTGACCTCTGAGGCCTCCTCCCTTCCAAGGATGCCCAGCACCGCCTCACCCCTTCCTTTCCCCTGTCCTTCCAGCACCTGCCAGGAGAAAGCGCGGTGGGAGTGTGACCAGGAGCCATGCCTGGTGGACGAGAACATGATCAAGGCCGTCAACCAAGGCAACTATGGGTGAGAGGCCCTAAAAATGCCCCGAGTGGGCACACATGCACGTGCACACACATACACATGTATGTTCTGCCCGAGATGCGTGTCCTGCCAGGCACACCCACACTCAGATCTTATTCATGTGTACATTTAGCTGGTAGGCATCTCTCCCGCCCACGTGCGCATACCTCCAGGACCCCCAGCCTTGGCCGGTCTGTGACCTCCATCCCCTCTCTTTCAGGTGGCGGGCTGGGAACCACAGTGCCTTCTGGGGCATGACCCTGGATGAGGGCATTCGCTACCGCCTGGGCACCATCCGCCCGTCTTCCTCCGTCACCAATATGAATGAGATTCATGTAAGTCCATCCCTGCCCACAATCCTGCCATCTCCTCTTGGCCTACCACCCCAGGGACCCTGGCACCCTGTGCCCTGCTTCTCCAAGGGCCTAGGCCTGTCCCCCACCAATAGGCTGTGTATCCCTGGACAAGGGACTCCCCTTCTCTGGGCCTTGGGTTTCTGCCTATAACAAGATGTGCTGCACTGCAGGAACTGATGCTCAGATTCTGAGTTTTGTGGTCCCAGCATCTGACCCTCCCTAGCTTCTCTGGCCCCTCCGGCTTGGGAAAAATGTCATTGGTCCCAGTATGGCTGGGTTAGGGCCCTAAGGGCCAGGAGGTCACCTTGGTATTTTGGGAAGGGAGAGACAGACACTCCTCCAGCTTTGGCCAGAGAGCAGCAATTCTCGGAAACAAGCACCATCTCAGCAGAACCCCCAGGGAGGAGGGGGTTTCACCCTTCCCACCAGTGGGACCCTCCAGAGGGAGAAATGAGAACCAGACCCAGAACAGTCAAAGGGCGAGGAAGAGAGCTTGAGCGGGACACATGCCGGAGGCTCCTTCCATCAGTGGCCGGCAGGGAGGAGGCAGTGACTGGCCAGAGCGGCCCTCCCTGCAGAGGGAGCTCAGCTCAAGGCTGAGGTGACCAGACCCTGCCCCTGCCCTTACTCCCCTGGGCCTCCGGCTATTTTCTGCCTCCTGCTGTTTGCCTTGGCAGCCTGCCCAGTCACGGGACCTTACTGCTTCTTCCCTCCCCTGCCCTTTGGGGCCTGAAGCCCAAGGTCCTGGTGGAAAGAAGGATGTAGCAGATCAGAAGGTACAGAGGAGGAAAGAGGCAGGGGTTGAGGATGGAAAGTGGCCCGACCACTTCCCTATTCCTGGCTTCAATTGCCTCACCTGTAAAACAGGACTAGTCACCCCCCACCTGACACTAGAGAGGCACTAAATGGTGTCTGGGTCTTCCTCTGGGTCACCGTGGAGGTTGCTGGACTCTCTCAGCAACAGAGGGCTCAAGATCAAACTGCAGAAGGCCCTGGACTTTTTTTTTTAACAGCTTTATTGGAGTATAATTGCTTTACAGCGGTGTGTTAGTTTCTGCTGTATAACAAAGTGAATCAGCTATGCATATACATATATCCCCATATCTCTTCCCCCTTGCGTCTCCCTCCCACCCTCCCTATCCCACCCCTCCAGGCGGTCACAAAGCACCGAGGCCCTGGACTCTCGGGAGACCTCCAATGCCTAGGGCCCCTGAGGGGCAGTCTGGGGCAGAGGCAGGAGGCAGACAGAGTGACCTTTTCCTTGCAGACAGTGCTGGGCCCAGGGGAGGTGCTGCCCAGAGCCTTCGAGGCCTCTGAGAAGTGGCCCAACTTGATCCACAACCCTCTTGACCAGGGCAACTGTGCAGGCTCCTGGGCCTTCTCCACGGCAGGTATGTTCAAGGGCAGGGGCTGGCCAGGTGGGAAAGGAGGGCAAAGGCCTGAGCCCCCTGACAGCCCCTCTACCTCCCCTCCCACCAGCTGTGGCATCTGATCGAGTCTCAATCCATTCTCTGGGGCACATGACACCTGTCCTGTCACCCCAGAACCTGCTGTCTTGTGACACGCACAACCAGCAGGGCTGCCGCGGTGGGCGACTTGACGGTGCCTGGTGGTTCCTGCGTCATCGAGGGTGAGCAGCAAGGGGGTAGGGAAGAGGGCATGAGGCGGGGGTCTTAGGAAGGGAAAGCCTGCAGGAAGGGCCTGGGCCAGGCTGCCCCATGCCCACTCTGTCCCCGCTCCCTCCCGCTGCCCCTGCAGGGTTGTGTCTGACCACTGCTACCCGTTCTCGGGCCATGGGTGGGACGAGGCTGGCTCCGCACCCCGCTGCATGATGCACAGTCGGGCCATGGGTCGGGGCAAACGGCAGGCCACCGCCCGCTGCCCCAGTAGCTATGTCCATGCCAATGACATCTACCAGGTCACTCCTGCCTACCGCCTCGGCTCCAACGTAAGTCTGCACTTGGGTGAGGGGGCAAAGGCAGGAGAGCTGGAAGGTTGGCCAAAGGCTGAAGCCTCGCTCGCGCCTGATGGATACTCTCCTCCCCACCCCCTCACCCTCCAGGAGAAGGAGATCATGAAGGAGCTGATGGAGAATGGCCCTGTCCAAGGTAAATGCCCCTCATCCTGCCCCCTGATTCCAGAAGCTTGTGCCTGCTTGACACTGGGCACAGAGGCACAGGTGGTCCGTACAGCATTGAGCAGCAAGTCCATTGGGGCCAGGAGTGGGAAAAACCATGTCCCTTCCCCAGGAGCAGCACCTGGAGGGGGCACTTAGAGTCTTGGTACCAGAGGCCCCGGGGCCTGGGCATGCATCTCCAGGCTTGGGTATCAGTGCCTGTGCTGATGGGCTGAGCCAGCCCCATTTTGACCTCTGCCCACAGCCCTCATGGAGGTGCATGAGGACTTCTTCCTGTACCAGAGCGGCATCTACAGCCATACCCCAGTGAGCCTTGGGAGGCCGGAGCAATACCGCCATCATGGGACCCATTCGGTCAAGATCACAGGGTGAGGGCCTTGGTGGGCAGGGGGGTTGGGGGCAGCAGGGCTTGCACTGGGGCCTCTGAGTCTGCCTTGAGTCCTTACCACCTCTCTGCAAAGCTCCATTTCATAGGGGAGGAAACCGAGACTCAAAAAGAGGAGGTACTTGCCCTGGGTCACACCAAGAGTTAGGGGCCTTTTAAGGTGTTCTAGAACTCTTCCTTCCTTACACACTGGGAAAACTAACTCCAAATGAAATACAGACAAGGATTCAAGAGTTGCTCAACCTCTCCCCAGCTCAGCACCTGTCCCAGCTCTGCCTGACTCACTCCCCCAGCCCTCAGTTTCCCCAGCTGATATAAGAGGCAATGCTAGAGTCACTGATTTCAATAGTCCAACCAATGAAATGTACTTTGCACACACACACCGCCCCCTGCCCCCCATCCCCCACCAGGTGAGGAGGGAGGGCAGGCAGATGTATGAGGTCCCAGAGAACTGGTCGCTGGGATGTGGATCCCTGGAGGGTGGAGGCCCAGTTTCCCTCCTTTTCTGCTTCCCCCTCCAGTTGTCCCTTTGGGACCGTCCCCACACCAGGCACAGGTGCACAGAATTAGAGATGTGGAGACTGAGGGAGGTGCAGAGAGGGACAGAGAGCTGCCCAAGTCCTGAGGGTGCACCCAAGTCACCAATGGCAACAGGGGCCCGGGCAGGGAAGGCCGCGGGGCGGGAGCTCCTGAAAGCAGGTGAATCAGCGCCCTTCCCCCTCCGGCTCTGCCCCGCAGGTGGGGGGAGGAGACGCTGCCCGACGGAAGGACGCTCAAGTACTGGGTGAGTCCCTGCGCCGCGTGCCCTGCGGCCGCTGTCACCTTCCCCCGGACCTCCTGTCCTCTTCCCCGACTCCAGTTCCCCTCCTCACGGCTCCTTCTCATTCCCAGACGGCGGCCAACTCATGGGGCCCAGCCTGGGGAGAGAGGGGCCACTTCCGCATCGTGCGCGGCGCCAACGAGTGCGACATCGAGAGCTTCGTGCTGGGCGTCTGGGGCCGCGTGGGTATGGAGGACATGGGTCACCACTGAGGCCGCGGGCACCACGCCGGGAAGAGCCCTCTGTGGGAAAGCAGCCCCCCCCCCCGCCCGCCCGCCCGCCCGACGGAGATCCGGGCCCCAGGGGCCTAATCCTCGCGCGCGAGGGTTCCGCTGACGCTGACGCAGCGCCCGGCGTGGGAGCCTCGGACAGGCGAGGCTGGCGGAGCCCCCAGACCTCCCAGCGGGGGCCGGGCAGGGCCTGGCCGGGAAGGAGCAAGACCACCAAAGCTAGGACACCCCCTTCTCCGGCCCCACCACTCCACCCCACCCTTGTACTCTTATTTCTCAAAGATATTTATTTTTCTTTTCACTGTTTTAAAATAAAAACAAAGTATTGATAACTATGTATCTTGGAACTTCTGGATGTGGAGAGCCAGGCCAGAGTTTGGGTGGCATATGGTTAGACAGCAGAAAGGACTGCCTAAAGCCATGCTGGTTGGCGGGGGTGGGGGGTGGGGTGGACCAGAAATCTTAGCCTCCATTCAGCCCTAATTGTCAGTGGCCCTGGACACTGACCCACTTGGAGGTGGGGCATGGATGGCATGGCTTCTGGCCCCTAGAGAGTCGTGGGCCCGTGGGAACCACTTCTCAGACGCTGAGTCAGCGCTGCCTGAGGCGGGGGAATCCAACCCACCAATCAGCAGAACTGGTGCCAGTGCCCAGCAGGCAAGGGGGGCACAGCCCCACAGAAGCTGGAGCCTCTGTCTCTGCAGATCAGCCTCTCCAAGCCACCCAGGCAAAGGGGAGCCCCCTGCTTCCCCTACCCCTAGGCCAGGCTGGGCCTGCCTCTCTGAGCCCTCTCCCTCCCCCACCTCCCCGTGCTCCCAGTGCCTGGAGAATTAAGTCCAGGCCTCGGCCTGGCATTCAAGGCCATCAGGACCCACCCCACCAGCCTCCTCACCAGCTTCTTCACCCAGTGCCCAGGCGACTCCAGAGTCCTCACTGCTCACTAGTGTCCAGTACACACGCAGACCACTGGGCATTTGCACATGCCACTCTCAGTCCAGATGCCCTTCCGTTCCACCCCCTCCGCTGTCCCACTGCTGTTTCAAAGCCAACTCCAGGGTTTCTTCAATCAGACAGTACTGGTGGAGAGTAACTGATGTGCCAGGTGCCGTGCAAGGGACCCACGAGTCCCCAAACCACCGCAACCCAACTTAGCATGGCTTAGACACCCCCTCCCTGAGCTCATCTGCATCCTGCCCTTTCACCAGTATTTCACGTATCCTTCTTACGCTGGAAGTTCCTTGAGGGCAGCGACTGGGTCTGGTTCATTGATGAGTCCTGGTACCCACACCTGTACGCTGGATAAGGTGGTGTTACAGTTTGTGGAATGGTTGAATGAATATAACCCATTCTTTCCCCCCCATTCCCTTCTCAAGACTCCCTCCTCAGCCCACCCCTCTAGGCACCGAGGTCAGTGTGAAGCCCTGCCTTTCCAGGAGCTCAGCAAGGCTGTGCCTGGTGATGGGGCCTCCCATGGCAGGAATCCTCCTTGCCCCCACCCCCAGCTAAACAGGAAGGCAGGGGAGCCAGAGTCGCTGAGCAGAGGCAGCAGGGAGGTCTGTCCCCTGGCAGGCAGCCCCTCAGGGCCAGCCTTGTCGCCTGGGCTGCTTGGGCATCACCTGAAAGGAATGCGGGGTGACCGATAAGCCGCTGCCTTTGTTTCATTTCCTGTTTGCTAGGACGTCCCGAGCCGGCTCCCCTGGCTGGCCCGCCTGTCCCCAAGGAGCCAAGGCTGGCCCGGGGCCCTGGGGACAACGAAGGGAGGGGAGTCCTGAGCAGGGGTGACGGGGGCTGCCCAGTTACTACCCCCTCTGCGGCTTTGGCTGCCAGACGCGCCCACCGTTTCCATCCCGCTGGAAAAACCCCGGTCCAGGGGCGGGGCTGGAATTTTCTACAAGGACCTTTGGCGGAAGCAATGGGGGTTGGGAAAGGGAGGGGAACAGGGGTGCGGCTGGGTCTCCAGGCTCTTAGCTCTGCCAGCCCTGCTGGGAGGCCTGACCCTGTGGACCCAAGTGGGGTCGGCCCAGCTCTGTCCCTGGGCCGGGGGCCCCAGGCCCGCAAGGTCCGCCGTGTGAATGGGGCTGGGGAGGGCTTAGCGGGTGCCTTGTCAGCCACCCCTGGTTCTCTTAAAGAGAACCAACACTCAATGAACATGTTGTTGTAAAGGGAGAGGCAAACCAAGGACCTCCAACCACGTTACTGCCCTTGAGTGGGTCCAGAAAGAAATCCTGGCACCCCAGCACCCTGCTGTGTGTCCTGAGGCCAGTCCCTTGCTCTCTCTGAGCCAAGGGCGTCCTTAGACAAACCTGAGTTTGAACGCCTACTCTGCTTGTTCCGCACTGGCTATGAAATCTTGACCTCTCAGAGCCTCTGTTTTTCTATCTTTAATGGGGATAATAATACTCACCTCCTGGAGTTATTGGGAGGATTAAAAGAGACAAAGCATGCTAAGCATTTAGCACCATGCTTGGAGCTTATTAAGGGCTCAATAAATGGTAACAGCTCCAGTCTTCTAAAGGTGGGGGTGGACTTGATAATGTAAATGTTTTTCATAATGAGCTAAACGTTTATTTAGTGCTTAACCGCAACCTTCTGACAACACGTTGTTCTGAGTGTTTTACATATATTATCTCATTTAATACTAAAAATAAGCCCCTATTTCCTTATTTTGCAGATAAGGAACAGAACCATAGAAGGTTGGTTGAGGCAGGATTAAACCCAGGCTGTCTGACTTCTCATACCAATCAGCTTTGTACTAATAGTGGTTGTTTCGTCCAATGTCTTTTTCCAAGTCCTTTCCCTGGTTGACAAACTCTTATTCATCCTTCAAAACCCAGCTCAAATGTCTCTCCTCTGGAAAGCCTTTCCTGGTGTCCACCTTCTAGACCTCCAGGGACTCCAGCATACATCCCTGGCACAGACAATTTTTCCTCCCACAAAATGTTGGGACAGGAGTTTTTTTCTTAGTCTCGTCCTTTCTTATGCGCCAAATGTTCTGCTTGGGCATTCATTCTGGTCTCCCATGGAGCTCTGCAGGGTCCCGAGGCACCTGACTTTTGTTTCCCGAGAACTGCTGAGTTACATCACTTCACTAGTGCTGATGCTTCACATCTTCCCGGCATCTTGCCAAACCCCATCCTTGCCAGGTGCCCATTAAGGGAAAGGAATCCATGCCTACTGAGTCTGCAGTGGGCCAGGCCTTGGGCTGAGCGCTTCACACACTTTAGCTCATTTGATCCTACAAACAGCCCTGTGAAAAAGTGTATCTTTAGAAACCAATGCCAACAAGTGAGGTGACCCTGGGAATCTAAGGGAGGGTTGAACTTCCAGATTGTGAGCAGGGCTAGTGGACCCAGGCACAGCCAGAACTAGGGATCCAAATCCTGCCAGGACTCACTCACATACTCTGTCTCTCTCTCCCCTGCCTCTCCCTCTGTAGACGAACTCTGCCATGAGGTAGGACATTTGACCAATGACAACTCCTGAGCCTCTCACATTTTCACAGCCATCGTCTCAGTTTTGACTCAAAACAGAACAGAACAGGGAAGGTTTCCAATTGGCCCAGCTCTAATCAGGTGTCCACCTGTGGGCCAACCATCTATAGCCAAGGGACAGGATCACAGATGCCATGACTGCCCTGGCTGAACCAGTGTTTGGAGGAGAAGATCCTAAAGGGGAAGACTGCTGTTCCGGGGGAAAGGAGGGATGCTGACCAGATGATAGAAACAGTCCATCATAGCTAGGGACTGCTGTTACCGCCATTGGACAGATAAGGAGATAGAGGCTCAGGGAAGCATGGGATTGGTCAGGTCACTTAGCTGATAAGTGGTGCAGCTGGATACAGCCCACACTGCCTACCACTGAATTTGTAGATCAACCCAGAAAGATGACTTTGTGGGTCAGACAATGAAATGTTCCTCCCCCAGCTTCTCCCTGATGACTCATTCCTGAAGGCTGGGAGATAACTTTTCTAGAATCCCACCCATTTTGTGAAAATTCTGTGGCTCTGACACTAACACCCGAGGCAGTCTTCCCAAAGTAAAGCAAAGCTGAGTCTGAGCAGGTCTTCCAGGAGAGCATCCTGCTTCCTGCTCCAAGGGGAATAGCACGGTCCCCACCGTGGGATGTGATGAGATGCTTTAACAGGAGCTGTTTGTTTTGAGGGCAGAGGTATGAGTGAATGAATGGGTGCACACAGGCAGGGCCCAGAAGCACGGTCAACGTTGGCAGCAGCGCCCCCTGCTGGCTGAATCTGCACCGCACCCACCACAGCCCAGAGAAGCGAAGAGCAGGGACCTGGGAGACACCTGGAACTGAGCAGCTACCCGCATGCACATTTCACAGACTCCCTGGGTGAGTCCTCATAACTGCTCCATGAAGCCTGGAGACCGGCCCAAGGAGACAAACAGAAAGGGGCAGAACTGGGAATGCATCTCATTCTGTTGGACTCCAGGGCCCCCCCACTCTGCACCTCTCACCCAGATGTTGTGCCCCAGCCTGGCCAGGAGAGGGCTTTGAGGTTCCTGTGGCTCTGTCACCTGTGGCTCTGTCCTCCACTCAGGCTCCCCTGTCTCCCCCCAGCACACACAACCTCCCTAGGAAAGCCCCTAATTCAGAGCCAGACAGACCCAGGCTCAAAGCCAGGCCACACTGGACTCCCCGAAGCTCACTTTCCACTCTGAACCTCAGTTTCCTAGTCTGTAAAATGGGAACAGTTATCTCTGCCGTCTCTGTGTGGGAGCTGACCAAGATTGAACATTTCCCTAAGAATGAGGAAATGAGGGAAACAAGCTGGGCCCACGGAGAGTCAGACTGAAGAAACTGGTACCTAATGAATCAGAGCAGAGATGTGCAGTCACCTTAAAGGGCCAGGCTGACTCTGGGTCTTGCAGAAGCTGACAGTCCTAGGTGAAAGTACTAACCCATCTAAAGTAACAAAGCACCCTCAGACAAAGGTGAGTCCCCGTGATCCTGAGATACTGAGTTTGTCCAGGGAGAGGCTGCTCTGGCCATCAGACCAGTGGCCAAGCTGAGTCTGTGTT